TCTCTCTCTCTCTATCTATCTATCTATCTATCTATCTCCCTCTTTCTTTCTTCCTCTTTTTCCCAGAGCTCGAGACCTTAGTCGTAAACAGATACAACAGACAGATACACTTTAACAACGTAAACCCAGACTTACAAGTAAGTCATGTCGACATAATAAACTCGATCTGAAGCATACTCTTCATTTTTGGGGGGGCTTGGTTTTTTGTCGTGTTTGTTCTCAGGTCAGCAATAGCAGTATATTTAGATATCCGGTATTAAGACAAGTTGCTCAGCTCAAGATTGTTGGCCTGTATGTTTATTGTTTGCATTAGACAATACTGAGCGTCCATGTATCTCTCGAAAGGAGCAGAGTTGAGTGTTTATAGTAATGACGCCGTGCATATGCCTGAATTTGTTAAAAAACATTGATCATGTGAATTTTCTTCGTCGATGAATTTGAGTAGTACATACGGTTTTTTTTTAAAGTTCAAAACAGTGGCTTTGAGAGGAGGAACCTGCGAATCCTTCTACCTGTTTAAAAGTACAGACGGGTGGTTGGCGGAATGCTTGTGTGGAATACTTCCTCTTTCCTATCAAACATCTTTCTTCTTTTTGTGTTATCATCTAAAAAAAAACAACCTCTAATCCTCGGCACTTGTTGCAAGTGCCGCAAACTTAAAATTTAACTAAAAGAAAAAAACGAAACGTTCAGATTGAAATTTGTGTTAAGATATCTCCTTAGGACAGTGATAAGGAATACTTCCCCTAGGATTTGAACTCAGATTACTAGCAGTACAGTTTAGCGACTCTGCTCTCTTAACCATCTAAGAGATCATTGTCGTTGGGAGTGCTTTTGGGTGCAGTCCCCGGTAATTCGGTCGAAAAGTTGTACATAATAATAACACCCAAATATGGATGTATATTATTTGTTTACCTCCTCCACACGCCTTCTTCGCAACATTCAGTTCACCCAACTTGCCTCCTGTATTGCATTCACTGTGTCAATGGGGGCGTATAATATTTACAATCACAATCAAACCCACGCCCGCTGCAGCAACCCCAATGAAAGGACCTCTGCGCGCTTTATTGACGGATAACACCCCGGTCTAAGAGCGCCGGAATACGATCCATTTTACTGCCACGCTTAGGAATGCTCTTAGCTTTGTTGATCATGTTATGACGTATGTAAGCAATTTATTGGACACCCATTAACCCTCACCTTGCTTCGGTCGAGGTGTACCCCGGCCGACAGACAGGATAAATAAGTAGATGCGGTTCTGAAGAGTTAATATTTTATTTTTAGAAATACAACAGGGCTTCCCCGAGGAATTTAAGAAATTCCTTTCCGCTTGTTCATGTCTGAGGGTTATTTCCCTACGGTTGAACGGCCTTATAGATACTCTTAGAAATTAAATTGTTTTTACAACTGCGTAGCTCTCACAAGCCCAACCTGCTTCATGACTATATTTAGTGTTGTTTCTATCCTGGGTTTTTTTTCTTTTTGTTAGGTTTTTTTTAGTTTTTTTTTTTTTTTTTTTGGGGGGGGGCCGGGCATGTCTGTGAGTCTGCTTGTGTGTGTGAGCGTGTGTGTGTGTGTGTGTGTGTGTGTGTGTGTGTGTGTGTGTGTGTGTGTGTGTGTGTGTGAGAGAGAGAGAGAGAGAGAGAGAGAGAGAGAGAGAGAGAAAAGTATGAGGGACTTTGTGTGTATGTGTGTGTGTGTGTGTGTGTGTGTGTGTGTGTGTGTGTGTGTGTGTGTGTGTCGCATGCACTTTTCGACAACCACGGGAAGTTTGCTATTAGACCTGAATTGAAAAATGCATCTGAACTTGTATAATTCATTATGACTCGTTGTTTGAGCACACTAGAGAAAAGGATTTCCTTTCCATATTTTTAATAATTCTTTTCGGCTTATTCACTGCTTGTGGTTCTTCTGAACGGTCGAGTGCCTCCGAAATGCGCCGTACTATCATATTCAGTAGCAACAGAAACGTGTAATGTCATGCATGGTCGCCGTTCTATCCTCCTTGACAGGAATGTGAAGGTGCGCTCTCTGGGAGTAGAATTCATCAATCTAAAAATTCTCGCACTAGCGCATGAAGGGGGGCGTATAAAACGAAGCTATATAAAACCAGCCCTGTTGAAGTTTGGAGTTAGAATTACTTTTGACCACTCACGTCATCGTACTTTTGGCTTTCAATACAGTTTGTGATATTCTGAAATTATTTATTTTGTTTACAGTTCCCAAGAGAGGCAAAAGTGGCTTTGGATTGTTTCAGTGTTTATTTATTATTTGTATTGGTCACTAGTGAGCCATAATATTTTATTTCCCAAAAGAAGAAGATTTAAGTTCTTATAGACTTCGTGTAACAAAGTATTAAAAGAAAACTTTAGTTATTGCTATTTTGGGAACGAGATCGCATTGACTGGAGACAGGATTTGAAACGATATTTTTACACAACTCACAGGGAAAGACAAGGCCAAAAAGACAGTGGACTTTTACAAGAATACAGAAAACAGTAAATCGAAAAAGAAAAGCCTGAAGAGAGAGGAAAGGGAGAGAAAAGGAAAGGGAAAGGAGAAAGAGAAGAGAAGGAAGACAAATAGAGAGGAATTAAGCACGAGTGAGAGGGGAAGAGAGAAGACAGAGAAAGGGAGGACAGAGAAAAGATAAGTACACTTTAAAGGTGATTTTTTTAAAACTGAGAGGAGACTGAGAGAAGAGGTAAGAACGAATTGTAACAAGACAGACTGACAATCAAGCGCGCGCTGCACAAAACCACACAGACCGCGGCGCGAACCAGCGTTTCGGACTCCATCAAGCGGGGGTAGCGTTTTCTGGGCCAGCCGTCAGTCGACAGAGCTATAAATAACAGTAGCGGCGGGCTGCTGTTGGGAGATCGTATCTGGTTACCTCAGGTGGCACGCGAGGACGCGGCCAGGTGTCGTCTGGACTAACAGTTGGGACGAAGATGACACAACAGCAGCAGCAACAACAACAACAACAACAACAACAACAACAACAACAACAGGGTCGACCTCGTGTGCTGGTGGGCCTGCTCCCTCGCTCACTTGGGGTGACTTTCCTGGTTCTGAGTTTGCTGGTGCACAGTACTCACCAACGGCCGGGTTTCGGTGCTGTGAGTTCGAGGGGAGCGCTATGGATAGATGGGACTTCGGAAACAGACAGGTAATTAAATTATTAATAGTCTTAACTATTTAAATTAATTATTGTTGATTATTACCGAATGACTATAGTGCTGATGTCCTTTTGCTTCCCTCGTTGTTGTTATGAATGCTAGTGTTACTTCTAGTGTTGTTGTTGCTACTACCGCTGTTGCTGCTGCTGCTGCTGCTGATGATGTTGCTGTTGTTGTTGTTGTTGTTGTTGTTGTTGTTGTTGTTGCTGTTGTTTATATTGTGGTTGTTTCTGTTTTGTAATTGTTACGCGGTCAACTTCCTCCCGTCTTTGTCCTCTTCCTCATCCTTTTCCTTATACTCCTCCTTCTACTCCTTCTCTTGCTGTTGCTATTCTTCTATTGTTGTATTATTGTTTTGATCACCTTTCCTTCTTCCTCCTTTTTGTTCTTCTCATGGTGATATTTTTTAGGCTGTTTCTGCTATCATTGCTCTGTTTTTTCTGCGGAAACGGTCATGGTATTGTCTTTCTTTCTTTACGATGGTTTTGCTTTTCAAATTACAGTTTAACTTTTTTTTCAATCTTGTTGGCTTGATTTTCATCATCGTCCTGTTATCCAAGAGGAGACTTGTGTGAAGAGAAATACAATTATTTTGTTAAACAGTAAACCACTCCCATCATCCCAGCTTAAATGGTAGAATAGTGAGTGTCTTAACTTTTCATGGAAGAGTGCAAGTTCCATTCTCAGCTTGGGCACACATTTTATTGAATGCCTATCTGCAGGCATGTATTATCCAACAGTCCGAGTTTTACCTCGGGGTAACAGCAACCTGCCGCCAAACTTAATATCGCAAAACAAAAGTCAGAGAATATAACTGTCTATGATTGCCTAAAACGTTCGTTGTCCGTTACTTAATGCCACCATTCACAAACACGAACATCCTTGTTCTGTCGCAAGCTTATTGTTCTCTTGAACCAACTCCTTTGGAGGGTTTTCCGGTTTCAGCAATTCGTATGTCACTTCGAATGTGAAAATGGGAGTTTTAGTTTCAGTAGGAGTTTTACGACGCTTTCAACACACCTATAGGTCATATAAGTGCCCAAGAGGAGAGATGTTACTAGAGGATTACGTACAAAGAAAAGAAGGAGGATTGACGAAGGGTGATAGATATTTTGATAGGAAAGAAGGAGCACCAATGAAAATGGGAGTTAGTAGTAAATTCTATGGAGTCCGGAAATGAACTGTAATAATTTTGGGCTCAAAAGAAAGATTTTTTGCAACAGCCTTCACAAATATTACCCCCCAAAAAACAACCCCAAATGTCGAAAAGTTAATTGTGTTGCAAGACAACACTAGGCTCGCGTTGTGTAGTTAAAGCATTGTTCTTGTTGCGTATATTAGTACAATTATTTGTTAACATTTGGCACCCAAACGGTAAAGCAGCAGGATAAGTGACGAAACAGAAACTCATCCATAGGGAGAGGAACTTTATTGGGTTTTGTGTGTCTGTGTG